GGGCTTTGCCCAGTAGCTCTCAGCAGTACATAAGCAAACTGAGGCGATCAAACATATCCTGTCCTGTCCAGTCAGGCAGAGGGCGTCCCTTTGCGGAATCTACATCTGCTCCGGTGCTGCCACAGCAGCATCCTACACCCATGCCACAACGTTGAGCTGCCTGCAGGAAGGTGACGCAGCCCATCTCAGCTACCGCTAAACCCTCTAGGTGGTCGGCAAAACACCAACCCAGAGATGGAGGGAGCTGCTCTTCAGGAGATGGTGGGTACATCACTCCTTCCCACAGAGGAGGTCACACAAGGTGCGGTTTGACAGTGAGCTTCGCTATGCTTCCTCATCCATCTCTTCTTTTACCACAGGGCTGGAGTTTGTGGTTCGAGGACACAACACCTCCTTACGCATCTCCAGCCACTCCCTTGTACACCACACTCACTGCCTCAACTCTGGGACGCTATGCCTTCCGGTTTGGGCCCCTGTGCTCCACCTCACTGCCCCTCCGCAGGTACGTCTGTAATTCAGCTGGTGCTGCTTGCACAGTGTCTGGCTACACGGCCAAGTCCCGAGACAGGCATGGCACCGTTGCACACATTGGATGATAATCACACAGATCTGTCGCCGTACTTTCAGCCCGTGTTTAGACCTTGCCTTTCTACGGGCCGGCATGCCCCTAGAACAAGTGTCAAGGCGTATTGTTATCACAATAGATGGCTCCAGAACGATCTGGGGTGCTGTATGCAATGGGCATGCAGCCTCTGGCTCCTGGACAGGACCTCGACTGCAATGGCATATAAATTGCCTCGAGTTGATAGCAGTACTGCTGGCCCTGCGCTTTCAACCATTGTTGCAGGACAAGCACGTGCTGGACGTATGGACAACACAGTGACGGTGGTATACATCAACCACCAGGGTGGTCTATGTTCATATCGCAACTCCCCTTCCACCCCCCCCCCCGACTTGCAACCGACTTGCTCTCATAACAGCTTACGCTCCCAGGAGTGTGGAGACTACACCCCCAGGTGGTCCAGCTGATTTGAAAAACGTTTTGGGAGGATCAGAGGTAGATATGTTCTCCTCTCTGTAATCTTCCCACTGCCTGTTGTTTTATTCCCTAACCAGGGGGACCCTCGGCACGGATGCACTGGCACACAGCTGGCCCCGGGGCCTACGCAAATATCTGTCCTGTGCAAGTACAGGCCCTCTAATAGGCGAGCTTATGCATTGAAGTGTGAGCCTGTTCATTGATTGGTGTAATCCCCGTTGGGAAGACCTCCGTAAATGGCCGATCAGCGCTGTGCTTTCTTTCCTGCAAGAAGGGTTGGAACAAAGGCTGTCTCCCTCCACTTTAAAACTGTATGTTGCTATCGCAGCACATCACAACGCAGTAGACAGTGAGTGGGAAAGGACGACCTGGTCATCAGGTACCCTTTTCGACCATGCCTCATCCCCTCTTCAGTCAGTTGAGTGAAGACAGTGCTCCTGTCCCCCTCTCAAGACATTGCTCCTGATTGCGCTCACATCTATCAAGAGGGTGGGGGACCTGCAGGTATTTTCGTTTGGACCGCCAGACTCTCACCTAATCCTGAGTTAATTCCAAAGTTCCCACCACTCCTGTCCGGGGCCAGATGGTGAACTTGGAGGAGTTCTCCTCCCTGGAGGAGGCTGATCCAGCCCTTGTGTTGCTGTGTCCTGTTCGCGCACTGTGTGTTTACGTGGACCGCAGGCAGAGCTTCAGAAGTTCGGGCAGCTCTTTGTTTGCTTTGGAGGTCAGCAGAAGTGAAAGGCTGTCTCCAAACAAAGGTTGACCCACTGGATAGTGGATGCCATCGTCTTGGCGTACCAGTCCCAAGGTGCCAGTTTCTTCCTAGGTGTTGGGTACAAACAGGTAATATGTGGAAAGGCTGGCGCGGCTTCTCACTTGCAGCGCCATTCCTCTCTAATGGGGAGATACGTTACGTCATGTTACATCCTGCCTGCCACAACCCCTGTACCACCACTGAATGGCCGGGATCCCCGTCTCCTCAGCGCAAACTTGAATGAGTGAGTTGCACGCTGCCTTATAAACCCATATGTACGGGGAGTGGCTTGCCATACAAATCTCACTCGCCAATGTGAATTGGCATGTTTTGTTGCCACTCGAAGGTGATTGGGCTCTCTTGCATCAGTCAGTTCTGACATAACATCTCCGTTCCCTCCTTCAGGGCCTTCATTAGTAACGGAGACGTTCTAAAGCACCGGATCAAAAAAGATTCCAAAATTATTTTATGTATTGATATCATCTTGTGGCTCCTTGACATCCCGGGTTTACATACCAATTAATATGTTTAATTGTGTTTATTGTAATTTCATGTGTTTCCATCACTGCAGTTTTCTGCAAAATTTTATATTTAGTTGGTATTTTGTTTTATATTTGACTTAATGCATTTATATTATACAGTACTAAAATTAGTTTATATCACTATTTGAATTGATGTTGGCTTTATTGTAATAATGATAAAGGTGATAAGTGATCAAAATAAATGAAAAGTGCAGATATAAAAGACTGTCATTTTCTCTAATGCACAAATGTATCTATTAGCCCTGACTGCAGCATAGCATAAATAGTCAAAGCATGCAACAAAAGAATATATGGTGTTAGATGCCTGTAAGGGTATGATGGATGTTTATGGTCGATTAAAGCTGAAGTGTGTAATTTCTGCGCCACTGGTGTCACCAAACATAATTACAAAAAAATAATGACTGTTTGCCATTGGTCAGACTGTTTGATAACCCCGTCACCAAAGTCATGTCACTGGTTGAGCCGATGTCACTGTGTCGGGATGCTCAAACAAACAGAGCAATGTTTTGCTAAAACCACATAGACACGTTTTCAGGGAAAAAACAAACTACAAACGGCTTACTTTTACTTGTCTCTGCTTATTAAGGTGAAATTGCACACTTCAACACTATGGGTGGCATGTAGAGACAGACTTCATATAGTGGAGCTACTTAAAAACAAATGTTCTGAAACACTAGTTGTACTTACCAGTGAAAATAGCTATACATCATGTAGAAAGCAAGAGCAGAATGCAGAATGTGATCAGATGTGTCTGAGAGGTGAAGAATGTTTTGAACAGTCTTCCATGTGTTTATATAGGGGCTAATATAAAGCCGGTGACCTGCATGCAGTTCACTTCCATTTTTATTTAATTTTTAATTTTTATTTTGTTAACAGTTTAAGGAGAGTAATAATAGAGACATCATATCAGTGACCTGAAGCTCTCCGTCTGTCTTCCAAACTCTCTCTCACACTCTCTCACCATATGTCTCACTTCCTCTCTTTTGATCTTTCCCAGGCGATCTCTGTCTTTCTTCTTCATATAAGAGTGCGCACTTTAGCATGCATAATTCTGTACATATTATGGGTGACAATCAAAACTGGACAAAAATGCCTCATACTTGAATACAGGTGAATAATAGTTTCAAATTAGTGTTGCTTTTTTAGTTAGTTTTAGTTATTCCTGATTTTTTTTATTAATTAGACAATGTTTAAATTGAATTGGCGGTCCAAAAGTCAGAATTTTCCTCATAATGCTTTTTGTGTGACATTTTATACTACCAATCAAAAGTTTGGAGTCCAGTAAGATAATTTAATTTGTAAAAGACTTTTATGATCACCAAGGCTGCCTTTATTTGATCAAAAATACAGTAAACAGTGAAATTGTGAAATATCATTACAATACAATAGTATTTTTTTCCATTTTAATATAATATCTAATATGCTGATTTGCTCAAGAAACCTTAATTATTAACTTTTCTTATCAATGTTGAAAAGAGTTGTGCTGCTTAATATTTTTGTGGAAACATGATACATTTTTCTCTCAGGATTGTTTGATGAATGGAAAGTTCACAAGAGCAGCATTTATTTTAAATAGAAATATTTTGTAACATTATAAACATATTTGTTGTCACCTTTGATCAATTTTAATCCAGTGTTGCGGAATAGAAATACTAACCCCAAACTTTTAAACCGTAATTGTGTGCAAAATGAACATGAATTTCAGAATGGCTTAGTATTTGATTTGTCCATCTTTTACTGAAATGACAGCTGCACTTGACTGATGATTATGTGATCCAGTATGATTTGAAAATGATCCAAAGAGCACCCTGAGCTTGAGTGAAAGCAACAACATTTGAATATCAGTATAAATGAGTCACATGATCAATTTCACAAATTTTTTTTTCATTTTTTTTCATTTTTTAATTAATTCTTTAATTAGTGACCTAAAAATAGTGCAGAATCTTAAATATTTCCTATTCATTTTACGTCATCATTTTTTGTTCTAATTATTTTAAGATCACTAAACTTTGTTCATTTCCAGGTATAAACTAGATTTGGCAACGGGTTCTCAGACTTTTGGACCTCATGTATCTATAGCAGAAGAAGAATATTGGATAGGGCGATGTCTGAGAGAGCAGAAGAGACGTAAGAGATTTGCCGCATTGAGAAGCATGTAAAAATCCATGTGTGCGTCTGTCCCCCTGCTGTGCTTGGCCCACTGTACTTGTTTCTCTCCATTCTAGAATATTTATGAGTATATTGTGTAGTGTCAACCAAGCAGGTTTTTTCTTCAGACATCTCTTGAAGTATTTCCTACATGTGCTACTGTGCTCTGTGGGGTTGTTACCCTGAAGCTGAATAATATCTGAAGCTCACGGGTCCTTATCACTGTAGAAACGGAGACTTCGCTCTGCGGAAAAGAACACAATCGCTTCTACCATCACTGAGGACGTTGAAATCGCACGCGCCACAGTCGGCAGCAGTGCTTTAATGAGAGAACAGATGAAACCTAAAAATACACATATTCTCAAATCTAGGTCATAAGTTATTGGCAATTAAAGTCCACATGATCAAAACATGCCTTGGCTCGGTGGAAGTAACATTGCTTTTCTGTTTTCCTGCATTGACTTGTGGGGTAGAGCAGTGCTTAATGTGTGTGTTTTGTGTTCTGCTGCTTTTACAGGATCATGGATGGCTCTGTCGCCAGCACGGAGGAGATTTTGCCTCCCACCATTCAGAAACTGATGAAGGGATACAACAAATACCTTAGGCCATTCTTTGACAGTACGACGAACAAAGCTTTTACATTTACACAAACTATTATATTGCATAAGTGGATTTTATCTTCTCTTAAAATCCTTTCATCATCAACAACTGCAATTAAAACTAAATTAAATTCAGCGGAAAGCGCTCCAGGCTTGAGTTGATGCAGTCCACTCCTGTAACGCATGTAAATTAAGAGCCCTTTTTCTGCTGTCTTCCTCTGTTAGCAGTGACTCTGTAGTCAATGCAGTGTGTGTGTGTTTTTTTTTTTTTTTTTTTTTTTTTTTTTTCAGATGGCCCTGTTACTGTAGGCATGAGTCTGGATATCGCCAGCATAGACACCATATCAGAAATCAACATGGTAGGATAATCTTACAAACCACAAACATCCAAACATATTTCTAAATTACTAAGACAAAAACAAAGTTCTGTCATGAAACTCTAGATGGCACAAGCTATAGGTCCTTAACTCAATCTGATTGCAATCACATTGTTCTATATAGGGCACAGGTGATTGGTTCCTGCTGTATTAGTAGCCAATAAATTTGCTGCTCAGCTTTCAAATATTTGGTCAGCGTCTGCTGTAGCAGTTTGCAACGCGCTTTCAGAAACCCGGCTCCACCTTCCTCAGCTCCACCTGTATAGATATGCTATGGGTAATTCATGTATGCTATATTGTACAGCAGTACCAAGTCTTACTTCCTCACAGCAGCATGTTGTGTATGTATTTCCCATGGCAAGTCCTGTACTTGCTGTGCAGCAGCAGCAATAACAGCAGCAGCGGCGGCAGCAGCATAGCAGATTTTCTGACCAAAAGACCAAACATGTTATCATTGTCATATATATCCATTACCATATCAAACATTCTGAGAGTTGTCATGAAAGAACTCAAATTATAATATTATATTGTAAACTGAAGAAAACATTTACAGACGCGTTTATAAAATCAAAGCATAACTAATATAAAAGCATATGGGGTCAATAACAAATACATTTGAGGTGATGAAAAGGAGAAAAACTAGTTCATAATGCGAGTGTCAAGTTCTTAGAAATGTCATTTTAATAATCATGTTGCGTTCATATTTTTTTAAATGCATATATCATAAAAAAGGAAACATAATAAAAGACAGCATGAAATGAGAATATATTTTCTCATCCATAATATCAATATCTATTTTCTGAATACGTATCTTATTTTGAATGATTCATTCATGCATATATGTTTTTTTAACCCTGTAAATAAAATATTGAAACTTATACACAATATTGTAACACTTTATTTTAAGGTGACATAGTTACTGCATGTACTTACTATAGTATTAACAGTAAATTATGCATAATTACAAGTAACTAACCCTAAACCAAAGCCTAACCCTAACTGTATAGTAAGTACATGTAGTTAATTAATATTATTCAGTACTTATTTGAGTAAGTACAATGTAACTACTTCACCTTAACATGTGTAACCCATATTTCCCTTATGCTTTAAATAGAACACATCTTTACAAACGTTATAACAATTGTTTTCAGTTTTGAGTCATGAAAGTTGATTTTCTTTGCGTTATTCTATTTCGCATGAACCAGCCTTCCCTTTTCATCATCATGTATAATATAATATAATATAATATAATATAATATAATATAATATAATATAATATAATATAATATAATATAATATAATATAATATAATATAAAAATCCAATAAACAGCTAAATTAATTTTGAATTATCATACAAGAGGTGTGTTCAAGTCATTGTCTGTATGAACTGCATTTTAATGTAGTTTTTCTTTTTAAATCTCAATAGATAAAAAAAAAAAGTCACATCATTGGCCCCTTTGATCTTTGGACAGAGTTGTATAAGAGCTGAGTGTATGATGTAAATCTAAGCTTGTGGTGCTATTCGCTGAATTAAGAATCTCTGTTCAACCTCTCCAGGATTACACAGCCACCATCTTTCTTCGTCAGCGCTGGACAGATGAACGCTTGTGTTTTGATGGCAATAAGAGCTTGAGTCTGGATGGGAGACTTGTGGAACTCCTTTGGGTCCCTGACACATTCATTGTGGATTCCAAGAAATCCTTCCTGCATGACATCACTGTCGAAAACAGACTGATCCGGATATTTCCCAACGGAACTGTGCTGTATGCCCTGAGGTAGTGAGGTGTCATTCACTGGATCTGGTCTTCATTCAGATGCTATACTGGGGTCTTAGGATTGTTGAGGAATGGGCTTACTGTTGATGGACTGACTGGAGGGTTGATAGGGGGAATGGGGCATCTGAAGACAACTAGAAAGAGGTAGGGATAAATATGGGCTAGTGAAAGAGTTCACAATAGTGGAAAACAGGGTAAAAATAGAGGTGGTGGCAGGGGACGCATGCGGAGCCTTAGTTTGTACAGATGGGCAGCTGGCATCAAAAATTAAGCTTGAAAGTAGCGTCCACGGACAGTGAGCTGATTTCCAGTGTTATATAAGCAACAACATTCTCTCATGTATGTTACTCTCTTTTTTTTTACCTCTCTGTTTCTCTAGAATTACCACCACAGTGGCCTGCAGTATGGATCTAACCAAATATCCCATGGACAGGCAGACGTGCATGCTTCAACTTGAAAGCTGTAGGAAAGCTCATGAAAATAATTCTCTATTTCTCTTGAAACCATTGCCAAATATTTTAGATATAACTCAGTGGGTTTCCTTCACTACTAATTGTGTAGGTGTTTACAATGTACAACATTTATATATGCCTAGACTTTACATGATTGCCAGATGAATGCACCATACTTTAATGCATAATTTTTTTTTCTGAAATAAGAAAGACTCATTGTAGGGTTGGGTTATATTACATTTTTATTTTTACATTACAGTATATTTAGAATTTATTCACATTTTATATGTGAATAATGTGTATTATGTCAGTAAGACTTTTTAAATGTTTTTGAAAGAATGCTCACTTATGCTCATCATGATGGCATTTTATTTAAAACATTTTTTTACAATTAATATACATTTGTAATTAAAGTTTTGATATTTTAATATATTTTAAAGCATCATTTATTCTTGCGATAGCAAAGTTGAATTTTCAGCATCATTACTCCAGTCTTTAGCTCCACATGATCCTTCAGAAATCATTTCTGATTTGGTGCTCAAGAAACATTTCTTACTATTATTGTTGAAAATGGTGAATGAGACCCAATAAGTGAATTTTATGAGTTGACCTTAGAGTGCTTCTAGTCTCTTCTTTAATCAGCACTACAGAGTGCTTGTGATTTATGCTGTGTGGCAGGCATAAGAGTGTCTAACCCTTTAAGATACATGCATGTTTCAAGCCTTTTTAAATTTGTGAAACTCTTGTGAAATATTAATTTCACTAATGATAGATGCTCCAGGTGTACACACCATAAATGTCCCTTAAGTTTTAAAAAATTAATCTGCATACACGATCTTCCATATGCTCACTCACCCAAGACTGCTGTGTAAGGGTTTGGCATGAGTTTTTTTTAATGTTCCATACTGAGACAAAAATAGAAATATTCTGAATTGATTTAACCAAAGATTTAGGTCCAGAATGGTTACTCACACAATATGTAACAGGAGATAAATGGAGCCAGTTAGACTATTACCAAACCAAAAGCATAAACCATAAAGTCTAAAGTTTCATAGTCTTTTCTTCCCTGTTGTGATGTGTGTCAGAGTGAAACGGCTTCTTGAACGAGAAATAATGTAGGGCTTGACTTGATTTTGTCCATCTGGAATTGATTGGATGAGTGAATCGTTGTGGTTTGCGATTGCTGTGATGTGAGTGACAGGTTGTCCTGCCCTCGCAACAGTAAACACATCATCAGAGAAGAGATAAGATGTAGCTCCAGGAGGGAGGGGAAGTTATTTTGATTAAAGATTACGAGGGCACAGGAATTAAAGAAATAAAATAAAGATATGCACAGATAAATAATTTATAATAAATACTGCAATATTACATACAATAAAAGAACTGTCCATTTAGATTTCATGGTGACTTTAAATTAGCAACACAATGTGACAGCTAGCCTACTCTATGCTTAATTTTTTTTTTTTTTTTAAATATATGGAATCAGGGCAACTTATTTCACAATGTTTTATTCTCTAGATAATATGCAAAGTTATTTTTTTAAACTCTCTTGCACACTAAACTTTGCATGACACAGTGCCATCTTGAGGTGTAGATTATGTATTACAACAAAATACACTGTGCTGCATGAACAGAGCTGTTTAATTTGTAGATTTTTAAGCCATGAATTACACTATTATTATCATCATTAATAATTATTATGCTGTTTGTGGGTCAGACTGACCCTAGCTGGTTTAAATACAATTCACCAAAAATTACACTATGAGAAAAAAAAAGAAGCAACAATTACAAATAGCAGATCAAAACAGTATTTGTAACAGAATTACCCATGGTGAATTGACATTTCAGGTTGGCTTACAAATGACTAAACAGCTCTGTTCAAAATTATTGAATTTATGGTAATCCCTGTATTATAGCATAGTGCTCGAGCAGGGCTGCATATAAAAATCAGTGGTAATCGAATGCTTTCTTACTGCTCTCTATAAGTGTTTGATGTAAATAGCTCTCAGCATTGGAATTACTTATTGTGCGGTGATAATTGGCTCTTCGATCCATATTATGTTATTTTTTCCTCAGGGGGATATAACGTGAAAGATGTTGTTTTCTATTGGACACGGGGAAACCAATCAGTTAGCGGTCTTGATCATTTACATCTGGCTCAGTACACCCTCGAGGACCACTACACCTCTGAATCTGAAGCCGTTTACGAGACTGGTATGTACACACACACACACGCACACACACACACACACACACACACACTGATATTTTGAAAACTTTATTGATGTTTTTACTTTCTCTTTTATTTACTAATAATGTAACAGGTAACTACCCAAAGTTGATCTTCCACTTCAAACTCAAGCGGAGCATCTTATATTTCATTCTGGAGACGTATGTTCCTTCCAGTGCTCTGGTGGTCCTGTCCTGGGTCTCATTTTGGATCAGTCAGTCTTCTGTACCTGCTCGCATCTGCATAGGTAAGAACGTAAAGCAGTCATTGCCAAATTAACATAAGTTCATCAAAATATATCAACACCTCTTCAGTATTCAGTAACTTGAACTAATCAACTTACATGATCATTATTAAGGCTTTTAAACGACAAAACACTTTAACTTACACATTTGAGAATCGGAATATCAGATAGTTCATGATTTAAAGTTTGTGAAAATTTTGAATAAGAAATGAAAAACTAAATAAAAGCTATACATCTGTCATACAGCACAATTGTGGCTGCGGTGTGTCACATGGCAAGCTTGACGCGTCGCCATAGAAATAATAAGGTGATACGCCCTAAAAAACTCACGCAGGGGGGTCAGCTAGAATATTTTAAACTTGCGTGTGAAAGGGTTAACATCTGACCGATGGCAACCTCCCTGCTGCTCACGGGGATAAAGGAAAGAAAAGGCTTTCCTTCTGGATGCCCCGATTTCACATTCTGGCCTGTTCGGCAATGCGGTTAATGACATCATCGACAGGTACCAGGAGGCCAAGAAACTGTCCAGCGAAAGGAGGCAAGAGCAAAATGCCACGTCCCCCCCCCCCCCCCCTAACAAATGCAGAGGGACCGGGAATTGCACTTAGACACATCTATCAGGGAGAGACAGGAACTTAGGTCTGTCATCTCTTCCAGGAAGGCTAAGAAAAAGTCCTGACTCCTGACTGTTGTGAGCCCTGGCACCCGAGGGCAACCCCTCCCAAGGAGGTCAGTGGACACCACAATATTGTGTGCCCGACCTTCCTTTGCGGCCCTCTGCACCTCTGCAGGCATAGCCCCACCATTAACAGTGTTTTGGGGGGTGGAGGATCCCAACAGGCCATTCGCTCCATCTTCAGTAATGAGCCATCTTTCCATTCAGCCTGCTCGGTTGGTCCCTGCCAGTTCTGATTCAGGGCACCAGACAGGCCATTTCCATCGAAAAAATTATCCCTCTGTCAGACTTTCTGACTGTGTGGCAGCTACTGCCGAATGTCTCTCAGTAGATACTGAATACCGTAAGAAAAGGTTACAGTGCTACTGCTACAGGTTACAGTTCAATGGTGTAGTAGCAACAGTGGTATGTCAAGAAAGTATTTTTCAATCAGGAACTACAATCTCTCCTGGTTGAAAGGGGCCATAGAGAAAGTACCCGTCCCAGAGAGAAATTCATGGTTTTACAGCCAGTGCTTTATTGTGCCCAAAAAGGACTATTTTCAGATGCTTCAGACATTGTCTCATGTGAAGCGTTCCCATAGTGTTAAGCCACGATGCAGTGCCTCGTTCCACTCTCAGGGAACCCGGGTTACATATGTAACCTCAGACAATTTAATGAAATTATTAATTGCATTATACACTGTAAAAAAGTTTTCTTAATCTAAAAAAAAAAAGACAACATATTACAATCAATTTAAGTGAACTCAACTAACAACTGAAAACTTATATAGGTTACTTAAATTCATTTGATGAGTAACAAAAAGTCTATTGAATTTTAACATTCTTGTCAAGGCAACTAAAGATTTAGCAATGCAAGGAGCTACAAACCTCTTTCTTTCACCTTTACACAGGATTTTTAAAACCACTGTATGATATGGGCGTTATTTGCCAATTAGAACTATAGGCAAACATATTACCTTAACATAAAATATATTAAATCCAACAGTTGCATGAGATGCATATATGCTAGCTCGACACAAATCTCAAACAATGCAGAGATCAACAAATACCAATTCAGTAAAAATATGAATCATATGACATCAACATAAATTAAGTCAGTAAAATGAACATTTTTGTACAGTAAAGAATCGTATTACCAAATGACTTTGACAGTTTATAGGATTCCCTAATGTTTTATAACTCGGAACCTTTTGGCATTAACTCATAGGAGTGACCACAGTCTTGACTATGACCACCTTGATGATGGGGGCCCGTACCTCTCTACCCAATGCCAACTGCTTCATTAAAGCCATCGATGTGTATCTGGGCATCTGCTTCAGCTTCATCTTTGGCGCACTGATTGAATATGCAGTTGCCCATTTCTGCACGTTACACCAGCCGAATGCTGCCAATGCATATATGGTAGGAACCTATATATCTACATAAACTTGAACAAGTAACGATGCCATAATGGCCATGAATAAGATCATCTTCACCTTGCCATAGTCATGACAATAAATCAAACACATTTATGTCTCACTATTGCATCAGTATGGCCAGGAAATGCAGGAGCGCGAGGACGAGATGAACGGCATCGTCAATTCCATCGGCAGCCGCGCTTTGCGGGCCCGTAAACGGGAGGAGATGCTGTCCCGGATGGGCAGCACCAGCAACCCCACCCCCAGTGAGAGTAAGGAAGAGATCAACTCGCAGCCACAGAACCGCTGCACCAAGTGCATGTCGACGACACGCCGCATCATACGCTGTCTGAACTGCTGCAAAGTGGAGAACCCGCACTACATCGACAACTACTCGCGGCTGTCCTTCCCCCTCTCCTTCATCTTCATCAACCTCCTCTACTGGACCTACTACTTGTACTTCTAAAGCCCCTGCTGTTGGCGTGTGTTGAGGGGTTTGCAGTGATTTAAGTGTGCGTCCTTTTTTGTGTCACAGTTTACCTAAGGGTTTATACTTTTACATGTCAGCATGCATTTCAGTTCAACTTATTGTCCCCCGAGAATGACTGACTGTGTTCATGTCACCCAAGTATGCGTCATTCCTTGTGGTATGCAGGATGTGATTGGGTTTGGACTGCACAGATATATGCAGATTTCTACCATATACCTTGAAGATGCATCTCCATCTCTGTGTCAGGAATACGTGGCCTTCATCTTCCAAGGAGCTTTAGGTTCACTCAAATCCACAGCAAAAATCGGCCCAGCTGTAAATTGCAGTATGATTTTATGATGTCCGTACAAGAAATTAAAACCTGACCTGAATGTAATTATGATTACATTGTCGTTTAGCACAAGAAGCATGACTTATAATTCACTGTTGACACAATTAACAAACCATAAGCGATTCACGAAACTGAAAGTTTGTTTAAAATGTTTGATTTATGAAATGAACATCAGAATCTTATCAACATGTTTGACAGCTACAGTAATAATATCAACTGGACCAAAGATTTAATGTGTATCTAATGTTCATAATCACAATCTGAATTCAAATGAGCACAAGTTATACATTGTTTTTGTGGCATATACTGTTTGTTTTTGCAAATATAGCAGTCATATGTCTTCTTATTAGCTGCCAAACAGGAATCAAGTTGGTTTTACCAACTCTATCTCACGACCAATTCGTACGAATTCGTGCGAGTGATTAAAAGGTGGCTAATTCGTACTAATTCATACGACCTCACTCGTACGAATTTGTACGATTTGTCTAAACCCCAGTGATGGGTAGGTTTAGGGGCGGGGTCAGGGGTAGGTCATTCGTACGAATTCATACGAATTTGGTAACTCGTAAAATATGTACGAATTAGCAAAAATCGTACGAATTTGTACGAGTGAGGTCGTATGAATTAGTACGAATTAGCCACCTCGTAAAATTCGTACGAATTCCCGTGAGATTGGTGATTTGTCTGCGTGAGTTGCAAGGGAATATTCTCTTAGAGATAGAAACTCTGATTATGAATGATTCTGTATTATTTGCATGATCGTTTATTTATTCTGCTGTATGTTGTTGTATTTAATTATTTATTTCTTTTTTGTTAATTAAATGCTTTTATCCAATCTAAGGCTCTTTGACCTAGTTAAAGTCGGCCCATTAAGAACTGCACTACAGTATTTTTGATAGCAGACTATTTTGGGCAAATTAATGCCACAACCAAAACATTGATGCATATTTGCTAATGGCATATTCAACACTGACATTTACATGATTTCTTGGCAGATTTTTATGCATTGTTGATGTCTGAATTTATATTATTTGCATATAGTTTGCGATATATGTTTCCCCCCCCCCCACTGTCAACACGTTTTGTTATCGGAGAACTGCTTGTTTGTATGATCTTTTTCAAGAACGTGTTATTCACCTGACCTTTGTGTGGTAAATCTTTTCTTTACTGTGAATGTCATACTTCTTACAGGTGAATATATTTTGTGCTCAAATTAAGCTGTATTTTATCCTTTTGCACTGAGATTTTGAATTACAAAGGCAGTATTACTTTGCCAAGAAGCATTTTCTTTTTGTATATACTGGCTAAATATTGCAAATGATGTTCACCAAATAATATTTATTATTAATACTGTATTTTAATAATGCATGAAAGTTGCGTATTGTTAAAGAGACAGAAGACCATGTTGCTATGTCTTCCATGCATGGGGAGTTCTGCATCTGTTTTTAGAGATTTGGACATAATAACCGACTTAAAGTAATATATTTCGAGACAGAACATAATATTTGTTTAAAAAATATATTTTTTAGCTGTTCTATTTACCAGTACACACTACACACTATTGCTAATAAAACACATTTGTTAACATCATGACAACTGCTATAGGTTTCTCTGTACTGTAAAAAAAAAACAAATAATGGTAGTGAAATTTAGCAAACTCTTGTAATGCCCTGTCACAAAACCGTTCAATGGCAGTGGCATCTTGAGGTCTTACTGCCCCTTACTGGTGAGTCCGGTTCTTTGAATGCTTTCTACGTTTATTTTTATCCTCATCTAAATCCAGAACCAACTCGATACAGAAAGACACGATTGGCAAAACATCTGTCACTACAGCATATTACAGCCCTTAGGATAGTGTGTTGTCAGTGCTGATCCTGATGCCAAAGAGCTAGTGATTTAACATCCAGTCTTTAGGATTTCCTTTTGAAAATGAAAATCGTTTGTTTACTCAATTTATGCACATTCCTTTGTGGTATTTATAGTTGCCCATCATTTATTATTAAATGCTGTCACTGTGTTCACTGGACAAATTTGATTTCACCATGTAAATTAAATTAACACTCTTAATGTGTAAAATAATGTTGCGTTTAAAAACCGAGCCTTAAATGGCATACAATTAATATTTCGGTATTATTTTTTTGTAGATTTTTGATTTATTTATTTAGTTTGATGTAGTAAGATACTTCATGTCTCACTATGCATGTAAAGTTAATGTTTAGGGTAATAAAATATTTTTACTAAAATCTGAATATTTGTACCTTTGTCTTTTTATTTGTTTTCCACCTTCCAGTAAATGTGATCTCTTACCTTCCTTGTAAATATTAGCACTTCATTTACCAGCATTTCATTCATTATTTATATCCTGATGAAACCAAACCACATGGTGGCGCTGCGATGTCAACTTCACCAGGAAAGGCTCAGATCAAAATAGACATCACAGCAGTTCTGACTGATTTTCTTGATTAAGAAGAATCTCGGTCTCAATCATTTTCTTCTTGAGTACGACCTATTATCTTGGTCACAAACCTGTATAATCAGTTGTCTATTAATGCTTAAGATAGCATGTCAGAGATGGTTAAATAGATTAAGGGATGGGTATGGGACATAATGTTGTTAACTTCACAGAGAGATGTCCACATTGTCCAGTCAGCCATGCTCAGGCTCTTTCTCCTGCTCCATCAGGTAACACACAAGGAGAATGGATATCAAGAGTAGTAAAAAAGTCCCACTCCTCTATCAGTCATTGTGCACTGCAATTTGGTGGCTACTAGGTGTCCTGTTTCAGATAACATTAAAAAAATGTAAACCAATAATTTTTTTTTTTTTTAAACATACACACCATACATACACGCAACACACACACACCATACATATACGCAACACACACACGCGCACTATATAATAATACAAATAAAATAAATACAAAAATAATAAATAAACAAAACATAAAAACACATTTCAAATTAATATAATAATATTCTATATTAAATAAAAATAATACAAACTTATGTACAAATACATATGGTTTATAGCATTATAATTATATAGGATATATACACTCACCGGCCACTTTATTAGGTACACCTGTCCAACTGCTCGTTAACACTTCATTTCTAAGCAGCCAATCACATGGTGGCAACTCAGTGCATTTAGGCATGTAGACATGGTCAAGACAATCTCCTGCAGTTCAAACCGAGCATCAGTATGGGGAAGAAAGGTGATTTGAGTGACTTTGAACGTGGCATGATTGTTGGTGCCAGAAGGGCTGGTCTGAGTATTTCAGAAACTGCTAATCTACTGGGATTTTCACGCACAACCATCTCTAGGGTTTACAGAGAATGGTCCGAAAAAGAAAAAACATCCAGTGAGCGGCAGTTCTGTGGGCGGAAATGCCTTGTTGATGCCAGAGGTCAGAGGAGAATGGCCAGACTGGTTCGAGCTGATAGAAGGGCAACAGTGACTGAAATAACCACTCGTTACAACCGAGGTATGCAGCAAAGCATTTGTGAAGCCACAACACGCACAACCTTGAGGCGGATGGGCTACAACAGCAGAAGACTCCACCGGGTACCACTCATCTCCACTACAAATAGGAAAAAGAGGCTACAATTTGCAAGAGCTCACCAAAATTGAACAGTTGAAGACTGGAAAAATGTTGCCTGGTCTGATGAGTCTCGATTTCTGTTGAGACATTCAGATGTTAGAGTCAGAATTTGGCGTAAACAGAATGAGAACATGGAACCATCATGCCTTGTTACCACTGTGCAGGCTGGTGGTGGTGGTGTAATGGTGTGGGGGATGTTTTCCTGGCACACTTTAGGCCCCTTAGTGCCAATTGGGCATCGTTTAAATGCCACGGCCTACCTGAGCATTGTTTCTGACCATGTCCATCCCTTTATGGCCACCATGTACCCATCCTCTGATGGCTACTTCCACCATGTCACAAAGCTCTAATCATTTCAAATTGGTTTCTTGAACATGACAATGAGTTCACTGTACTAAATTGGCCTCCACAGTCACCAGATCTCAACCCAATAGAGCATCTTTGAGATGTGGTGGAACGGGAGATTCGCATCATGGATGTGCAGCCGACAAATCTGCGGCAACTGTGTGATGCCATCATGTCAATATGGACCAAACTCCCTGAGGAATGCTTCCAGCACCTTGTTGAATCTATGCCACGAAGAATTGAGGCAGTTCTGAAGGCAAAAGGGGGTCCAACCCGTTACTAGCATGGGGTACCTAATAAAGTGGCTGGTGAGTGTATATGTGTGTGTGTGTGTGTATGCACACATATACAGGATAATATATGTATGTGTAATGTGTGTCTGTATATGATTTCATTTGATGTACAAACTGGTTTCATTTACAAATCATCCAGAGGGAATCTGTGAAGCACGTATAATGTTTGAGCTTTAGCCTTTATTTATTTAGCTCGGCGGAACACTGAGAGGTGCAGCCACGGTGCATTATGTCACTGAGTCACACCACTTTCTGCACAGATGAGCTGCTCTCTACTCCCCTACCACACTCTCCAAACTCTCTGAGTCAACAAGCACATTTGGCGTATAAGGAAAAAGAGCCAGTACATTCTGTCTGCACCTGGAGCAATGAGGGCCAGGTGGTATGCATGTGGCTCAGAGACAGGAAGCTGTACAATATGGATCATTTTCCACTTTTACCCCTATTCCCTCTCTCATTAA